ATGCCTTTTGCTCTAAATCCAGCTTCTTCTAGCCATCATGTTGCACTCTGGAATGGGTCATTCTTACAGATTTGAAGCACATGGTGGAACATATGCTTAATGTCCTCATTGTTGCGTCAAAGAGATATTTCAAGTTGTATTTAAGTTGAGACCTGATGTGGCTTTGGCAATGATAAAACAATGCTGGAGATGTGGTCAGATGCCACTTTGAAATGTCTGTGCCCTGTATCCTTCATCTGCTTATCTGTGCCTGGAGCTTTGATGTCATTGACTACGCAGATGCCGTCACAGATCCCCGGCATCCCATCCTCCGGAAAAATAATCTCTCAAAGGACCTGTTGGTGGCATTTTACCATTGTACTGTTGAGAGGGTCTCTATGTGTGGTTTGGGAGCTGCACGGTCAGGGAAAAAATAATGCTGTCCAGGGTTGTAAAGACTGCAGAGAGAATAATTGGGTGCACTCTTCCCACCTTGGATCAAATCTATGCTTCCAGCTGCCATAAGAAAGCTGCAGAGATAGCGCAGGATAGTGCACACCCCGGAAATGATCTCTTTCAGCTTTTGCCTTCTGGAAGAAGGTACAGGGTTATAAAGACTAGGATTAGCCGCCTGAGAAACAGTTTCTATTCAAATGCGATTTTGGTTTTAAATGCAGTGTAAAGTAGTCTCATTGGGAGTACATTGTATTTAATTATGGGGTATTAGAGTTTTTAGGGGGCTAACTAAGCTGGGATAGCAGGCTTGTTGGTTTCTGAATGTCTGATGTAGATTTTCAGTTTCGTTGTTCTGTATGGGACAATGACAATAAAGAGTATTGTATCGTATCCTTACTGCTCTGCGGGGTAGCAATGCCAAGTGCAATGTCAAGACCCAACAGATCCTGAGAGTGCTCTTCCCAGAATCCTTCACAGCATTCAAGCTTTCCTTGGCAGGTCCAGAGGTTTCTTGTCAGGTGGATCAAGGTGGAAAGAACTGCCCAAAGGCAGGAAAATTTGGGGGGAAATAGTGGACTATAAAATGATACGCAGCAAAACGAAAGGATAGAGGTCATTGAAAGAAAAGAAAGATGAAGGTGGTGTGAAGGTAAAGCATATACACACTCATGTCTTTTGCCCTGCTGTTGTTTGGAACTTGAAAAATTGTCGGGAGACAAAAGTAGTAAGAAAAAAGCCCTGCTGTATATGGGGGCATTTTCACTCAGCATTCTGTTTGCACCCGTGGCCATCCAAAACTGGTGATTTATTTATTAAATTTGTATAGTGGCTTTCACCTGTTGATTTCAGGGCAGTTCACAACATAAAAATACAAGATAAAAACCATAATAAAAAGAACACCCCCTCAATAATAATAATTACTTGTACCCTGCCCCTCTGACTGCGATGCCCTAGCTATTCCCCCACCCAATGACAAGTTTAATAGGGTATCAGATGTTAATCCCCTAAAGGTCTGGTTGAAGAAGAATGTTTTCGCCTGGTGCCTACAGGTGTAGGATGAAGACGCCAGTCAAACCTCACTGGTGAGAGCATTCCACAAACAGGGAGCCACTGCAAAAAAGAGGCCCATTCTTGTGTTGCCACATTTTGGGCCTCTCATGGAGGAGGCGCATGAAGAAGGGCCTCAGAGGGTCCAGGTCAGTTCATATGGAGAAAGGTGGTCCTTGAGGTAATGCGGTCCTGAGCCGTTTAAGGCTTTATAGGCCAAAACCAGCACTTTGAATTGCTGTGGTTAGTCCACAGCAGGACATAAAGGCAACAGGGACAGAGTGCTTGACTAGCACTGGAGAGACCCAAGTTCCAATTGCCATCACTCGTTCCCAAAACCTCCTGAGAGAACTTCAGCCATTCTCTCTCTCCCTCCCTCTCTCACCCTCACCTCACAGGGATGCTGTGAGGATTAAAATGAGGGGAGAAGATCAAATGTATGCCACTTTGAGCTCCTTGGAAGAAAGATGAGGTAAACAAAGAATAAAACGGATAAAGGTTCCTCCGGTGTTGCTTGTCCCCTTCTACCATCAACTGGTATTCCAAGTGTGTCTGCCCCCATTAGCTCTCTTGCCTCCTGTCCACTGATAGACCTGTCTTCCATACATTTGTCTAATCACATTTAAAGACATCCGGGTGGCGCTGTGGGTTAAACCACAGAGCCTAGGACTTGCTGATCAGAAGGTCGGTGGTTCGAATTTCTGCGATGGGGTGAGCTCCCGTTGCTCGGTCCCTGCTCCTGCCAACCTAGCAGTTCGAAAGCACCTCAAAGTGCAAGTAGATAAATAGGTACCGCTCCAGCGGGAAGGTAAACAACATTTCCGTGCGCTGCTCTGGTTCACCAGAAGTGGCTTAGTCATGCTGGCCACATGACCCGGAAGCTGTACGCTGGCTCCCTTGGCCAATAAAGCGAGATGAGCGCCACAACCCCAGAGTCGGTCACGACTGGACCTAATGGTCAGGGGTCCCTTTACCTTTACCTTTAAGACTAAGCCCTCTCCTTGGGTGGCAAGTTTCACAGTAGGCCAGATGTGGACATGACTGATGACAATAGCTGCATCAGGCCATGTTCTTTTGGCCAACCAGTTGGAATTTCCTAGCACAGTCAAGGCATCCCATGTTGCCTCTAATTCCATTTCAGAATTGAGTGAAGCACATCTCGGCCTGTAAAACTGGTTTATGGGAAAGGTGCTTAATTAGGGCATCATCGTCAAGCTAGATGAAGATTACACTTTTGGAATGTGCAGTGTGCTCTTGTAAATGATCTCATGATTGTTATAAAATGGGCTGTAATAAGAATGGTGGGCTTGAGGGACCCATTGAAGGCTGCTACTGCACCTCTGCCTGCATAGAGCAGGCCATGGCTGTGCAAGATTAACAAGGTAACTGATGGGAGAACTAGACATGAATGGGGAAGACTTCCATCCAGAATCCCAGATTTTTAGGGCATTTACCCCCAGGGTGCCATGGCCCTTTCTGTTCATCTGTGCATGTGTGGTAGAGGGTTTATTCATGTTAGCAGTTAAATGCTAACCCTTTCTTTAACATTACAGTGGTACCTCTGGTTAAGAACTTAATTTGTTTTGGAGGTCCGTTCTTAACCTGAAACTGTTCTTAACCTGAGGTACCACTTTAACTAATGGGGCCTCCCACTGCTGCCGGAGCATGATTTCTGTTCTCATCCTGAAGCAAAGTTCTTAACCCAAGGTACTATTTCTGGGTTAGCGGAGTCTGTAACCTGAAGCGTCTGTAACCCGAGGTACCACTGTATAACGTAAGAGCCCCATTTCCCAACAAATCTATGGCTACCCAAACTGGTAATCAAGTGTTTTACTGTCTTAAATACCCAAGGCCATGCTATGAGTTTATGCTAAATACAGCCATGCAGTCATAGGAGTCGGCTCCTAGGGGCTGAGGTCCCTTTGCTTCCCCCAATAAAATATTTAAGGGGGCCACCTCTTTAAGTTGATGGACATTGCCATTGATGGTGTCTGTGTGCTGCACCATGTGATTGATTATGTGGGTGGAGCTTACCTGCTTCCCCTAATTTATTCAAGTTGGCACTTGAATAAATACAGTGTGTGTATGCAGAGAGTGCATGACACCAAGGGGTAGTAGCACCCCTCATTTCTTGCTATCTCATTTGCTGCGCTGGCTGTCAGCCAAAGGTCACATTTACAGCACATGGCTTCCTCAAAAAAAACAAAAACCCAACAAAACCATGGGAACCATAGTGCTGGGAACTGTAGTTCCATCAGAGGTAAACTACTGTTTCCAGAATACTTTGGGGGAAGGCATGTGCTCTACATGTATGCTGTAGAAGTGAGCACAGTATATTAAATTTGTGTATACTATAGTAGGCGCAGATAGATCACTTGACAGACTTCTGAGGGATCAGCAAGAATTGTTTAACAGCTGACTGACCCCTCCAATTGTTTAACAATAGCAGCAGCAAAAGGCTTCTCTTTGCCTGCCCACTTCTAAATTAGGTTGCTAACATGAACATAACTTAGCGGGGGAAGTGGGAGTCAAGAGTGGGTTTTTGTCTGACGTGAGTTTGAACTCGGGTTTGGTCCTGAGTTTTCAAGTTTTCAAATGAACACACTGCGGGGAATGCAGAATCGACCTGCGATAAGCTTTCATCTTCAGAGGGAAACCAGTTTCACAAGAAGCACTTTTCAGGGGCAAATCGTATATACAGTAGATTTGGAAAAACCAGTATTTTTCAAACTTGGGTCTCCAGCTGATTGGGACCACAATTCCCATCGTCCCGGATTACTGGTCCTGCTGGCTAGGGATGATGGGAGTTGTAGTCCCAAAAACGGCTGGAGACCCAACTTCAGGAAACGCTGATTGTAGATCGTGTGTCGACAACGCGGTCTCCCTTGATTCTGGAAAAGAATCTTGCGGCTACGCAGCCCAAATCTGCAGAAACGCGCAGCTAAAAACAAAACAATAGTTCTTCGGGGTGGTGGGGAGAACCTTTCTCTGTTTTTCGAGGATGAGTCCCAGAAGATAGCTTCTTACCAGAGGAATTCGGGGCGGAGGTGCGAGTATACCTCTTTGAAGGTGGCTGCTGTAAACTTGTGGGTTTGGCAAGCATTTGTGCAGAAAATAATCACTGAGCGACGTGAGGGGAGGTGGGCTTTTAATCCACAGCTTTAAAATCAACCGATTGATCGCTGCCCCGCGTAATAAAAGCTGCGAGTGGCAGGTTCTAGACTCCCCTCTCCAGCTGTTCCGCGAGGTCCCCGTAACCCTGGACGGTCCAGACTCCGGCCACGCTCCTTCCTACCTCGCCGCACCTGCCGCGTCCTTTCCCTTTCCTCTCCAGTCTCCAACGCAGGGCGCCTCCTTCGCCCTCTCCGTCTTCTCTCGCTCCCTCCCGCTTGCGTCGCCGCTCTAGTTGCGACAGGGCGACGTCGTCGGTGACTCATCCTGTCACCCGAAGCGAGAGAGTGGTGGGGGAAAAAAATATCCTGCCCGGGCAACCTGGGCGAGCCTGCAGTTGCAAGCAGATGCCTGCAGATGGAACCTGTTCACCAAGGCAGCAATGCACCCAGAAGGGGGCGAGGGAAGCGCAGCGCATCGGGAACCATGGGAAACGGACGCGGCGGCGGATTCCCTCCAGGGCCGCTTTCCGGAGAGACCAGAGAGGGAAACATCCGATTCAGGAGGAAGAGGCGACCCGGCGGCTGTCCTCTGACGAGAGGGGGCGCCATCGGAGCAGAAGGCTCCGACGCGCGGCGTTGGGAGACGAGCGCCCCTTCCTCGGACGGTTGGGCTTGGACAGCCAGCCGGAGGCAACTCCAGGCAGCGAAGAGGAGGCCTTGCAAAGTTTGACGGGCAGCCTGCGTCCGCCGTCGGGCTTCCCCCGTCGGAAGGACCCCGAGCGAGTTCTAGAAGGGGCTGCTTAAGACCTGGGCGCGGCGTGACGCCTGGAGCGCTTAGCGACGCGCGTCGCTTAATGAGTGCACTCTCGCGCGCGCTCACACATAGACACACAACTCGGAGAAAGGGAGGCTCGCTTGCTCCTCCCGCCCCGCTTCCCTTGACTGACTCGCCTTCATTCAAGAGAGAAGCCGCAGTTCATACCCACACATTCCTGATTAGCCCCCACCTCCGCAACCGAGCCCTAAACTGGCTCTTCCTTTCCAATAAAACCTGGTGGAAACAGTTCTTGTCCTGAGCGTTTGTGGTGCCAGATTAAGGGGGGGGGGAGCAGGGGGGGTCGGGAGAGAGAAAGCGTGTGCGCAGGAAAGCTTTGCAGGGGAAAGGGGGCGGGGGGGAGAGACTAGATCCTGCTGTGATCTTTCCGATCCACATTAAAAAAAAAAATTGGGGGCGGAGAGAGCGCGGAAGAAAGAGGAAGGATTCGCCGATGCAACCGGCTTTGGGAGTTTTTCGTTGTGTTGGGAAGGCTGCGGCATTTCAGGAGTGACTTCGGTTTGGGCGCTCGAAAACTACCCCCGAGTGTGTGTGTGTGTGCGAGGGAGAGAGAAGAGGCGGGGAGCAGAATTGGACGGGATTGGGCTGGGCTGCGGTGGGGGAGGTGGGGGTGTTGTGAGAGCGACGGAGCTTCCCTGACTATCTCCCCGCCGCCACCTCTTTTCCTTTCGCCCGTGGCCAGGCTGAACGTCTGATAAAAGGTGGATTAGGAGGGGAGTTGAGAGACAGACCAATAGCTGCTGCCAGTGGGAGTATTTTGTGATTCACATGTAAGAGGCTCGGGAATCGCTGCCTCCTCCTTTCTTTCAGCACCAAGAACAGCTACAAGTGCAGCTCCTCGCTCGCTCGCTCGCTTTTGCTTCCCCCTCCTCGGAAAAGCCAGGCAACGTGCGCGCAAATGGAGCCGCAAGAAGGCGCCCCGAGGGCTCCTCTCCAGCCCGGGTGAGTGAGCGAGCCGGGACCCCGCACCCTACCCCGCCTGCAACTTCGCGACGGGAGCGCATGCATCAAGTTGACCCGGAGTTGGGAGCCAGGGGACTGGATCCCCGGCTGCTTTGATCCCTCGGCCAAAAGCCACCCGGGGCCGAGGCGCCCCGGAAGCCCTGGAGTCTCCCTCCGGCTCCTTCCCGAGAAGTTCGAGGGCGCGGCGATGGAGGAGGCTGGCACCGCTGCCCCGGCGCTTTGCAGCCCTGCCGGGATCGCCGGATCTCCCGCGGGGGGCGGGGGGCGGGCCGAGGGGGCGGGGAGTCGCTTGGAGAGAGAGAGGCTGGTGGGCTGAAATTACCTAATCCTCTCTCCCTACCCGGGCGCCGCCGCCGCCGTCTATTAATTCCACCACTGACCCCCGCCGCTCCCCGCGCGATGGAGCTGCAAGTCTTGCCGAGCGATTGGGGGAATCGAGGTAGCTTTATTATTACTATTACTATTATTATTATTATTATTATTTATTAGGCTGAATGCAGTGTGCATGTGGGAGGGGAGGATGAGAGGAATGATATCAAGGAAAATGGGAGGGGGGTGCAATCCAGGAGGGGCAGGAAGAAGAGTGATGCGTGAATGCAAGTTGTGTGTGTTTTTTTGGGTGGGGGGTGTTGAGAGAAATCCGACTTGCTCGCCAGAGGAGCTGCCGGGGTTTGTTTCTGTAGCACTTGGTGGAGCTTTCGGATCTGGAAAGACACCTGATGGGGAGCTGGGAACGGAATTGGCAGCGTGAAGGGGCAGTGATCAAACAGGAGTCTTGTGCCTGGTGCAGGGATGAAATCCAAACACACACACACAGAGAGCTTACACCCCAGTTTCGACCCCCTTTTTATTTATGGCTCCTCACCACCATCTGCTGATTTTTTAAAAATTGCATATGGCTTTCAGTCCTGAAGACTTTTTTTAATTTGCTTTTTCAAAACGCGCCTGTTCCCTTGGGTTTAATCCGGAGTTACGAACCATTCCTAGGGGGCGCGGGAGCACTTGGGGGCTGCCCCGAACTTTCCTTTGAAAGCTATGCAAAGCGGAGCTTGGCGAAAGTCCTCCCGGCGCGATTTCTTCCTCTGATCTCAGGATTTAAATTTAAGCAGCTTGATCCACTTCCTCCTTGGACCTCTACCCCACCCCCCACCTCACCGCCGCCCGGAGGAAGGAAGTGGAGCTTTTAAGGCTCTTGGAGATCAGCAAGCCCACCCTACTGTGGAGAGAGAGGGGGGGAGAGGTCCCTTGAGGCTTGTTCAAGCTGGTAAAATCGCTCAGGATTGACCCGTGTGCCTCTTCGTGTAAATTGTAAGCTGGCGGAGGGGGGTATCCTAGCTGTCAGATTGCGCAGGACATGACAGGAGCCCCTGGGAGCCCTCACCAATTGATTCCCCAGACTTGTATTTCAGAGGAGGGGGGGGGAGAGGAAGCTCTCTTGATGTCTCTCCAAAAAAGAAAGAAAGAAAAAAGCTATTTATAGAAAAGAATATGAGATGTCTGCTAATGGAATCTCATCCCTTTTGGAGATGTCTAATCTGTCCTTTTTTTTTTTTAAAGGCAGGTATTTTAAAGACAAGTAGGTAAATGGATCACACTGAAAACACATGCCCCCAATAACCATTTCAAACTATCAAGAGCAATTATGGATTTAGGAGAGCAGTAAGGCCAAGCCGGCACACTGACATTTGCCATTACAAGCAAGCTTGGGGGTTGAAATTCCTCACTAAAAAAGGATGTTACATTTCCACAGAGAGATTTCTATGCAGAGGGAAGCAATTGCAGTTCTTCCTTTCTTTTTAAGGAGACAGGGCTGTGGCAATTGCATCTGAGCACATATGCACACACAGGACATTTGGGAAGACTCGAACGCTACATGCCTTGTGAACCTGCTTTTTTAAGAGAACGAATGAAGCCATTTCATTCTAACATTTCAAAATCTACAAAAGACTGGACTGCAATGAGAGATAGCGGAAGGGTTGCTGCTCACCCTTCGGCGGCAAAATACTCCACCTCCCCTTGGCAGTCTTCCAATTAGGGCTGAAATTCCTTAGGTGCAGAAGGAAATTGTATGGGGACAAGCAAAAAAGCCAAACAGAACTCAGCCGTCAACAGAGGGCACCCGCCTGAGTGCATTTACTATCCAGATAGCAGCAGGTTTTTGTGTGATTTTTTAAATGGAAAAAAGTGGTGAAATCCTGCATGCTGATTGAACTTCTGGGCCTCCCAGTCTTAAAGCTGTTTGCTTGGAAGGACACCCCATAGATGTCAGGGGAACTTACCTTGACCCCCTGCAACGAACGGCTACTGTTAGAATGCATTGCAAATATGAATGGAAGATGAGTATAAGTGCTGAGAATGAAAGTGTGGCTGATTTTTTGGGATGAAACTGACTCTGAGAGGTGAGAGGAAGGGGAGCTGGAATACAATGGCAGGCAATGTTTGATTCAGCCAAATGTATGGAGAGTTGGCAGAGCCAGTGAAAGCTGCTCTTTGGCAGCTTTTCCTGGGTGAAATTGGCAGCCAGACAGGCAGTAGCCTGATCAGACAGTGACCTTGGCAGCATTAGGGCATTAATATTCACTTTTGGACGAACAGATCTCCAGCATCTCCAGTGCGTTAGGTGAAAGGAGGCCCAGCCTCCTGAGATTAGGTATGTGCCCTGTTCCATTCCCCCTCTTTCACATTTCTCCGACAAATGCATTTATGACAGCCAGCGCGAGGAAACTCCTCCTCTGTTTTTCACGTTTGTTCTCCACTCTTCCGATCGGAGTATTTTGGGTCACTGATGCAGAACAGGAACTTCCGATAAACTGGAGCTGCAGCAATCTGTTGGCCAGAGCAATGACTCCTCCAGGCTGATTTGGAAAGTCTGCTTGCATTTCACAAAGGAGACCGGGGATGGGAAGATGCTGCAGCTGAAGGATCAGTGAAGCACAGAGAGGAGCATTGTAGCTCTCTCTCTCTGTACCCCAGTTTCTCAACTCGTTGGGAAGATTTCTCCCCTTTTCTGGCTGTCTTTAATTTAACAAAAACCAGAGGGGCGGAGGATCAGTGCGAAATATTTTAAAAGAGAATGCAGCTGTGTTCAGTGAGGAGCTGATTTTCCCAGATAGTGTTGGAATAGGCTTATTTGAAATACTGTGGATGCATTTTAAGAGTCCCCCACCCCCAATGGAAAACATGTTCTAGAACTGATGCTGGTTAGAGTGGCTGTTAGCATTTACACTACTTTTAGCATTCCTTACAAGAATTATGTAGGATAGTTAAATTCTCAATGCATTGTCAGCGGGGGCTTAGAGATAGTGATTTGCCTCCAGTCACCCATTAAATGGATGGCAGCTGATACGTGAATTGGGGGCTTCCCAGATCACACTCTCAGCTGTCAGCATGGCGCCAGGTTTTTGATTAGGACCACGAACTTGGAAGAAGCACATCTATTTAGTCTTGCTCCCAGCCTAGTGCTGGATCTAAAATACAGGATACAACTACTGAAACCCTGAGCTATCGCTGTCTAACATCTCTCCTTCATTATCTGCAGCAAAACAGAGCCCACCACCTCCCAAGTCAGTCTTTCCTGCTATCACATAACTCTTGCCACTAGGAAGCTTCTCCTAATGTTTACTCATTTCGGGGGAAAGTTATAAGGAGTTTGCTGAGCGAGGGAGAGTTTGGCCTTGCAAATCGTTATGTGCCTTGATAAAGAAGGATGGTTTTGAGAAAGACCTGGTCCTGTAATGATAAGTTGTGAGATAAAGGGACCCGCCTTCTGCTAGTCCCAGGACTGAATCTTGCCAACAACTTATCATTTGCCTTTTACTGTTGTGTATGTGGAGGTATGAAACTGTATTAGCCGGCAGTTGAATTCTCAGACTTGGTCAGGCTTAGAGCTGAGCCACTGAAATAAACGGGTGTCTTCTGAACACAACTCTGGATACTTTTTCCACGTGGCACCTCAAACAGGGCAGTAAATGGCACCCAAAACTATTGAGAAGGGCCTGGAATATGT